TTAAGTATCTTAAAAATCAAATGCTTTGGGCTTCAGAATTTCTATGTTCAGTCGATATTTATTATTATTTCAACTGCCTTACAATGGAAACCGCACTTAGACAAATGACTGTCCAGTTTCAGTGTAGCTCTTGTAAACAGCTGTGCTATGAATTCCTGTGCTGGAATGCTGCTTTGTCACTTCCTGTGGCAAGTCTCAGTGATTCACAGAAGACGTCCCTCTGCCTTCTCTAGCAATAGTGCACTAGGGGGAACTCTATTCTTCTCATTCGCCAGTGCAGGAGGAGCATTACTGATCTGGAAATCTGTGATGCAAGAGAACGATCTGACTCAAGTATTGCTCAGTAAGTTGTGGGTAAGGCTATGTAGAGTAATTCAGCCAACTGTATTCATAACCCCGGTGTGTTCACTTTCCCACAAACATTCACGCTTCACTAGCAGGATCACTTGTGGAAGTGAACATTGAGACTGCATACTCAAATGGCAGCTGGTAGCTAAGTGTGAATTGGATATTTGATTTCAAAATGTGCAATTCCTGACCGAGCTGCTGACCAAGAATCATTCACTAAAGAAATCAGTGGGTTTTGAATAATGAATACATGAAACTGTTTTAGTGTTGTATGCAGTGTTATTGTAGCCGTGGATATTAGCGAGACAAGGTGGGAGAGGTAATATATTTTATTGGACCTTCAAACAACCCCCCAACCTCTCCAAGCTCATCATCAGAAGCAAGCTCCCCACAGACCAGGACACACCAAATCAAAGCAGCCCCAGACCCTGCCAGAACAACAGATGCAGAACCTGCAGACATATCTCCACTGCTACAATGATCAACACCCGCCCCCGCCACCTTTCAAGATCCATGGCTCCTACACATGCCTATCCCAACATGTGGTGTACCTCATTCAGTGCACTTAAAAGCCCCAATAACAACTACATGGGTGAAATCAGACAGTCTCCAATGAACTCACACAGGAAAATGATAAAAGGCAAAAACACTGTCACGTGTGGGTGGAAATTTTTCACAAAGCAATCACTCCATATCTGGCCTCTCAGTCCTCAGCCTCAGAAGAAACCTGCACAACACCTTTATAAGATGACCCTGGGAGCTTAAATTCATAACTTTGCTGGACACTAAAAATCATGACCTGAACAGAGACATTGGATTTATGGGTTATTACAATAACCTGTAACCCACTAACAACCCTCTTTGTCCTATGACTGCAGAGGTGTTGACAGGGCACTTCCACTTGAATGATCCAGAATATGTGCTAACTCCTTATGCTAAACAATCTATTCCACCTTGCATTTAGCTGTGACACTTGGAGTACCTTTCCCAGACCTGAAGAGCAGCTCTGTGTAGCTCGAAAGCTTGTCTCTCTCAACAACAGAAGTTGGTCCATTAAAAGAGATGACCTCACCCACCTTGTCTCTCTAAGATAATTTGAGTAATATACAAAAAACATCAGATACTTTATAATGAATAATTTGCTCAGCTCTGGTCTCCAGGGTGAAAGTTATTCCTATGCAGAGGGTCAGCCACTCAGAGGGCCGGATTCTCTGGCAGTATAAAGGAGCTGTAAAGAGGGTGTAACTGTAATTAAAGCAGAATGGTTACACTGGGCCTGATTCTGCAAGGTGCTGAGTGACTTGAACTCCCGTTAACTTCCAACAGAAGAGGATGACCCCCAGCACTTCATGGACGGAGCTCACAGGATTGAATCCTTACATGTAGATGTTTAAAGACTAATATTTAAGATCTTTACTTTCAATGCCTTCCACAGGATTGGTCCAACCCACTCGATGGAGCGTCTTACTCTCCAATATCATGACCTCCTACAACAGCTACGTTCCACTGGAATAATTACACTGTCGGCTTCAGGAGACTTGTCTACAAAAGGGTGTTACTGCTCGTTAGTTGATTCCCAGTTCACCCAAGAGCAAGACTGGTGAACAGCAGCTTTCTCTTCAGCGGGCCCACAGCTGTGGGACCCGTTTCCAGGAAAGATCACAATGACCACGAATCTCAGAGCCTCCATAACGAACTGCAGAACCCACTTCTCCAAATAACAAACTTCAATACATCAAAGCCATGAAACTCTCCTTGGAGAGGTACAAAGAAGGTGGCGTACTCCTTTCAGTGTTGGTGAGATGCGCCACCACTAGCTGCAGCACAAATTCCTAGACAGACTAGCTTAGATGAGAGTAGAGAGATGGCAGAGGGGGATACGCTGCAAATGGCTTTTTGAAGGCTGCTTAAGTAATGATGCACGATGAGGGATTTGATAAACAGTTACAGTGTTTGTGGCAGATACACACCACCCCCATATGCATCATTCCTATCACTCAATAAGACAAACAATCAGTTAAAAATACCCACCAATACAGACATCCATAATTGTTTTCGCCTTTTGAGGGTCTGAAATTAGTCACCCTTGCCATGGATGAAAAGGGAAAAATGACTAAAAAAAAAAAGGGAAGCCATATGGCAGGGACGGTGATACTGCAGCTCACGAACCACATGTGGCTTTTTTACAGTTAAAGTGCAGCTCACAGAGCCCCTCCTGCCCCTCCCCCCGCCAACCAGACTTGGGGGGGAGCTTGGGGCTTCTGCCCTGTGGTGAGGAGGTGGGGCTCGGGGCTTCAGCCCTGCAAGGCGCACCAGGAATGGCGCTTCAGCCCCAAGCCCTGGCAGATGTGCCCCATGGGCAGAAACCCCTAGCCCCACCCTCCCCCCGCTGCAGGGCAGAAGCCCCAATCCCCTGAGCTCCTCCATACTGCCTTGACAACACATCAACTGGTTTTCCAAAGACTTACAACCAGGATGGGGACCCACCAGGCCTCCAGCTCTAGCACCAATTAGCCGCGATACAGTAAGTAGGATGTTAATATTTTAAAAAATGCGTGTGTCAAGATTGTGCATGTCTGGCGACTCTCGGACTTCTGAAGATTACCGTATGCAGCTCGGAAAGCCAGTAAGTTTGGCTACTCAGTCTATATGGAGAAAACCAAGAACTTGTGTCCTTTGTAACAGTTTACACAGAGCTTTTCGGGTTTAAAGTGCACTATGAACATTAATCTTCAGAATACCCCTGAGAGGGAGGCAAGTATACTTATTATTTATTATTTTTTGCAGCAATCAGCGTGTACGAGGCACCTCATAGACCAAATTACAGCGTCCCTGCCCTGAAGAGGTTACTTTCTATATTCCCAATTTACAGACTAGGAAGCTAAGGCCCAGAAAGGTAAAGGACATCATTTCCAAAACTGGCCCTCGATTTTGGGGGCCTGACTTTTTGGGCACCCAGCTTGAGACCCCAGGGGCGTGATTTTCAGAAGCACAGATCACGCTCAACTCCAGCTGGAGTCAGGGGGAGCTGCAGATGTTCAGCACCTCTGAAAAGCAGACCCAAGTGGGGCATGCAAAAAACCAGACATCCAAAAGTAGAGGCCACTTGAAAATTAGAATGTAAGTGATTTGCCCAATATCACACAGGGAATCGGTCAGAGCCAGGATTCTAACTTAAGAGTTCCTGGCTCCCAGTCACATGCATAAACTAGAACATCTCACCACCTTACCCCTCGCTCCAGAGGTGATGCTGGATTTTATGGGCTATGGCTGGCTGACCTCTCTCTCCAATGTAACCAAACAGAACAACCCCATATCTGTGATATTAGTTCTTCAAATAGTTAAAAAAAAACCAACAATTTAACCTTTTATTTATTGAACCTATTGAGTCCCTAAGTGAAGGTGTCTAAATCCCATTGACTTTCAGGGGAGTTAGGTCCCTAATCGGCTCAGGTGCTCTTGTACATCTTGGCAGCTATCTGCATCTTTAGGTGCTTAAATACATTTGTAAATCTGGCCATAACCTGACCTTGCAGCCTGGGATTTTGTGCAGCAGCCCCTTTTACTGAACTTACGATAACCAGATCATGCTGCAAACAGACTACAATAGTCCTTGCATGCACACATTTTTCCCCCTCTGCTTTTGGAGTAAATTTTAGTGTTCTCAAAAGCAAGAAGCTGGTGGCACTGACAGACAGTCAGCAAACCACATAGTCTCTTCACATAATATTTGTCAGTGCACCTCAGATTTAAACTCCAATGTTCCGGCACTTCTGATTCAGAGCCTCTCGAGGTTGAAGAATGGCACATTGTGTGTAGTGGATAGTTTAATGTGATTCCGAAACCACCAGGGAGTAGCTTAAGACCACCAGACTCATTTCACTTGGGTTCTACACCACGTTTGAACCCAGATCTCCAGAAGCAGGTAGCTACTGTGTTAACACCAAGGTCTTACTACCTTCATTCAGACTGAACACTGATGTCTAATGGGAGAGGCCAACAGCTACTCTGTTATATACTGGAATAGGCCGCTCTTAGCCTAGCAGAGTACCGGAGTACCGCAGTCACTGCTTTCAATAACTGCACAGCATGCAAATTCCTGCCCTCCAGCCATGGTCCTCAAAACTCACTTCCCGTGTGACTACAAATATGCCCCTTTCATCCTGCTAATGGTTTATGTTATGTCTCCAAGATATTGACTAAAACGTTTCAGGATAATAACTTCTTGTGAGGTTTCAGAGACGCAGTACTCTGGTGAGTACTTCTTGTTAACTTGGATATAGCCAAATCCAACGCCAGTGCCTAGGAGTTAATTCAGCCCAGACTATGGTTACTACCCAAGGAATGAACAGTCATCTAAAGAGTGAAGATTAGAAGAGTCAGAACTCATTCTGCACTGGCCAGTCCTCTCGCTGACAGTCTGAGTGGCCCACTCAGGTTATTCCCACTGAAACCGTGAATTTCAATCCTATATTTTATTTAGAATAACAACATCTCAGCCCTGGGTTCCATCTTGCAGTGCTGCCAGCTTGGTGTTCAGGCCACAGTATAAATCACAGGGGCAGACACAACCTGTATGTCTCAACAGCATTAAATCCATACTTAGGGCTATATCACACACACAGAGCATGTAGAAGTAAATCATGTCTTACCTACAGCAGGGAACGGCACAAACCTCTGGATCAGGAGGCGGGTAGCTGGCGTAAACTTGTTTGCTCTCTGAACCAGAACATTAAGGCCCACCTTTAGACAGAGAAATCGAAGAAAGGTAAAAGCATTTAGTTCCAAATAATGGTGCACGCTCTATGCCCTGCAGCGACTAAGGAGTAGAGCTCTTAACTGAGATGAGAGAGGGAGAGACCTTTGCTTCTGAAATCATTCCAAAGCTAAATCCATTCAGGTAACCTTATGTGTAGCCCTTCCATTGCTTCCACGCTCCCCCCCATCGGCCCACAATTCCAGCCCTCCACTGCTACCCCCAACGGAAGGATGGGCTCCATTATAGCGTTACTCTTCTGGGTTGTTTCTTCACCATAGCCTTTAATGGAAATGTCCCTATATTGCATTTTTTATCCAGTTTGATGGTATTTTCCCAGCCAATCTCACCCCTCCAGCAGGGCTGCCCAGAGGATTGAGGGGGCCTGGGGTCTTTGGCGGCGGGGAGCCCTTGCTGCTGAAGACCCAGCACTTCGGCGGTGGGTCCCGGGGCGGAAGGACCCCCCCGCCGCGGGTCTTCAGGGCACTTCGGCGGCGGGTCCCGGAGCAGAAGGACCCCCCCGCCGCCGAATTACCACTGAAGACCTGGAGCGGAAGAAGCTCCGGGGGCCCGGGCACCACGAGAGTTTTCCGGGGCCCCTGGAGCGAGTGAAGGACCCTGCTCCAGGGGCCCCAAAAAACTCTCGTTGGGGCCCCTGCGGGGTCCGGGGCAAATTGCCCCACTTGCCCCCGCCCTGGGCAGCCCTGCCCTCCAGCAGAGTTTGGATTGGATTATGGTCTAGCCACGTAGAGGGTATCGTATAACTGTAATGCCAACAGACCCCGGTTGTCGTTGGCTGGGATCAAACCTGGGACTTCTGAAGCTTAATGCATGAGCCTCTCTCTACTGCATGAGCTAAAACACAAGTCTTTTAGCCAAGGCTGTAGCAGACTCATCAATGTTTAGCTGGTCTAGGTGCCACTACAGGGGGACAGAGTGCCACACCAAGCAGGCCTGGGTTCCATAACTATACTTTTTCACCCATTTCCTCCAGCATTTGAATGAGGCACGGTGCACTGCATTTTTACTACAATCCCAAAGTAGCTGCACATGTGTAACCCAAAGCAACAATGTGGGTCTTTGCCCAGCTGCTAGAGGGGGACAAAACCCTACAGTCTAACAATTTGGGTTACAGATTAAGGCTGGTCAAAAATTTTCCATCAAAACTTTTTTCTCCCCGACAGAAAATTGGGTTCTCATCTAAACACAATTTTATTGCAGAAAGCACCTTCTTTCCTCAAAAACTTTCTATTTTTCATCAGAGAGGCCTAAAAGGCCCCAAACCAAAAGTTTTGGCTGTGACCCAAATGTTTTTGACAGTTTCTGACCGAATGTCTTCACCCGAAAAACTGCAATACAAAAAATTTTCAGCCCAAAATGTCTGAAATTTTTTTGGTTTTCAGGGCTTTCAATTTTCTTACCAAATAAATACATACATAACAATAAATTTAAAAAAATCAAAATTGTCTGTGGTGAAAAAAACAACAACATTTTCTGACCATGTCAGTTACACTTGCACATGCAGTGTCGTTGTCTTTCTTTGGGAAGATGCTGAAAAACACTATTACAGTTTAAACACTGCGTGAGCACAATTAGGATTTTCACACCCTCAGTACCCTTCCAAATCCAAGCAGGTTTCCACTGGGACACTGAATGACATTTCTCCTCCTATGGGGTATTTCCCTGCCAAACCATCCCTTTCTGCTTTCACTCCCCACCCCACCCACACTTTGGCATTAGGGGCATTCAAAAAGAGTCATACTATATATATTTTTAAATAATCAGAAAAGTGTTTTTTCCCCTCCCCTTCTTCATTCTCAAAAATGGCTGAGAAGCATTTGCTCAAACATTCCAAGGCCTGGAAAATGTAAGCCCAAAATGTGAAAGCTAAGTTGTAAGCTACTGGAAAAATGGGGGTTTAGAAAGGGAATCATAGAATATCTGAGTTAGAAGGGACCTCAGGAGACCATCTAGTCCAACCCCCTGCTCAAAGCAAGACGAATCCCCAGACAGATTTTTGACCCCAGATCCCTAAATGGCCCCCTCAAGAATTGAACTCACAATGCTGGGTTTAGCAGGCCAATGCTCAAACTACTGTGCTATCCCTCCCCGGCTCAGACAATCCTAACCATGGTTCCTGGTCCCACTATACCTATACCTACCTATACTACAGCTACAGTATTCATAAATTTAATTCACTGAATCTGCAGAGATATCATATTTTGTTTCGCTACCGAACTCCTCTGCTTGGAGTTTTTCAGGATTTGAATGCTAAATGCAGGAGCAGCAGCTTTTGAAAGGAGAAAAGGTTGACCTGAGCCACTGCTGTGAAGTTACTAGTAATAAAAACCATTTTACTTTCAGATTCAATTTGGTGCCACAGATGAACTCACTTTTCTGTCTGTAACACCCACCCTGCTGTGAATATGAAATTAAATGTTGATATAGATTTAAATCCAATCTCCCCAAATTCTCGACACAAGGTCTAGATTTAAGAAACTAATGAGGGTTTGTTTTTACAGTTTTGAAATTATTTTACCCAATCTGTGAACTCTTTCCCGCAGGTTGCAAAGTGGGACCACCTAAATTGGGAAAGGAGAATGCCCTGCAACACACCGGTATTTTTGATCTCAGATCATTGCAAATAAAAGGGGCACCAGCAAAGACTTGTTAATAGGTTTTAATTGTGAGGGGCTGGCCAGAGGTATTATGTCCAGTGGGCCAAATGCATCACTAAGGTAACTCAATGCTAATGGAGTTACTCCAGGGGTGAGTATAGTTAATTATTGTTATTTATTTGTATTGCCATCTAAGATCAGGCCCCCTTCTGCAAAGGCATAACAAAGAGACAGTCCCTGTACCATAGTGTGTAATGATTGCTTAGCAGCTTGAAAATAACCTTGCTTTCTCTCTTGGGTCTACATTTGCCTCCGGCAAACTCTATTTTCCCCTCCAATTTTTTTATGGACGGTCTTTGTCCCACTTCCCTATTGTCAGCATCAACAATGCGGTCAGCTCAGTGCTGAGAGCAGAGTTTGCAGTGTTGCCAGAACTCTGGATTTTACCATGAGTGCCACAACATTTGGTGTTTTTTTTAAAGCCACAGCTCCTGGAGTCAAGGGATTATGTAAGAACCTCAGCTCTCACATAAAAAAATTCTTGCCTTTCTGGTTGCAGAGCAAGGCTTGAAAGCACGACCCTAGTGTAATCTAAAGTCTCAGAAGCCAAAAGACAAATTAAAAAAAAATCTCCCCAAATTATTATTTTTTAAATCTCTCTATTTTTCAGCCAATTGTGATTCTTCTGAGACCTGATGAATGGTTTTGGGGGATTGGCAATGCTGAGTTTGTTCAATAAAGGCCCAATCCTTCTCCCCCTCAAATCCATGGGAAAGCTTCCAGTGAGGGCCAGAACTGGGGTTTGTGCTCGCTCTGATATCTGTTTCTGAAGTGGAGTAACAATATTAGTGGGTCACCTACCAAGAGGTGTTTTTATTTATTTTTCAGTGGTGGATTTTTACAAAGAAAGAGATACTGAGAACCCAGAGAACACTGCCGATCAGACCACAACAGCTCTTCCCTTCTAACTACGAAGGGCTAGGAGGAGACTTACATCGGAGACAGATTACCCAACATCTGCCTGTTGCATGGCTCCTTGCACCTTCCTTTGAAGCATCTGGTGCTAGCCACTGGTGGAGACAAGGAGCCTGGGCTAGATGGACCATGGGTTTGATTCAGTCTGGCAATTCCAATGTTCCAGCAATGTAAAGACTGCACAGGCGCCGACTCCGTGGGTGCTCCAGATGCTTAGTACCCACTGGCAGCCAGCTCCCCCACCTCCCAGTGCCTCCCGCCCTCCTGCTAATCAGTGCTTCTCCCTCCCTGATCAGTTGTTTTGCGGCATGCAGGAGGCTCTGGGAGGGAGGGGAAGGAGTGGGGATAGGGCACGCTGGGGGGAGGGGCGGAGCAGGGGTGGGAAAAGGCGGGACGCGGGTCGAGGCTTGGGGGAAGGGGTTGGGTGGGTGGGGGCCTGTGGCAGAGCGGGGGGTTAAGAACCCCCCAGTCCCGGAGGAAGCCAGCGCCTATGAAAGACTGAGCTTAATGCTGGCATTTGAACTATCAACCTGCCAGTGTCCAGGGAAGGAGATTCAGTCCTACGGAAACGGAACTAAACGAGGCTCGCCTGTCCTTCAGCCTCAAAGTCACCAGCACAAAGCTTCAGAGGGTGCAGCATAAAAGGGGCCAACAGAGGGCACAAAACATAGCTAAAAAAAGGGCAGGTCAAGGTAGAAGAAGCAGAACACCTGCTTGAGGTCAGATGCAAAGGAGGAAGGAGATTGGGAAGCAGGCAGAGACGAAGGTGGGGAGAGGGAAGGAGAAGAGAAGAGAGGACAAGAGAGAGAGAAGGAGTGTGGGTTGGAGCAAAGAGGGAAAAGGAAGGAGTTGGGATCAAAGGGGTATGGGATGAGAGGAAGACAAGAGAAGGGAAACCATGGAACCAGAGCCAGCATTAGAGGAGACTGTGGAAGGAGAGTGAAAGAGAGAGGCTGGTTTGGGGCAGAGGGACAGACGTTTCTATTGAAGAAAATAGCAAGGTCTTGAGCAGAAAAGGAAGAGGTGGGGCAGGGGCACAGGAGGCAAGGTGGGATATGGTGAGAAAGCAGGACAGAAACGCAGACGCAAGGGAGTCACGCAGGGCGTTGAAGGACAAGAATCTTAAACTTCATTTGGTAGGAGACGAAGATCCAGTGGAGGGACTCAAAAAGGGGAGCAACATGGTCCATGCACAACCTGGTCTATGTCCCTATAAGTAAACTAAAGATAAACAGCCATGTGGCACAGAAGGGGAAGCGGGGAGGGGCTTTACTTACGAATGCACATCAACATTAAACACACAGCAATCCATGCAAATGGATATTGCCCTTCACAGAGGCAACGGCATGCCCACGGGCAATGAGATGCAGCAGGCTGTAGGAGTGGGGCGGAAA